CGTACAAAACAGGCTAAGATGAGCCTAAGGACTCCTGTAGCGGGATCTGGGGGGGGGGGTTCAGCATACAGCTCGGTAAGGGGTATGGGACGGAGATGTGAATTTGGGGCACTGATGGGGACCTGATGACGCAGGAGTCCCGCCGCGATTGCTGGTGTTACCGGGGGGGGGGTCGCTCTCCGGGAAGGTATGTGGGCATAAAAGAAGTTTCTTATGGGCCATTAGACTGAACATACCAGATCTTGAATTAGTGTATTCATCAATAATGTATGTGCCACTTTCACAGAGTACCACATTAGTCATCCGCGCACTTCACTGCATTCGCCGAGTACGCATGTCGTTTGAGTAAATTAAGAGAACATCCCTGTCAAACAACCCGAAGAGTTGTAGTTCAGTGAAAATTTTTAAGCAATAACATTTGTTGCCGGTTGTGTAGATATTTTCCTATTCAAGAAATAGTGAATAATAAAAATACAGGTTCTTAAATTCTGCTAATATAATAAAGTAACGAATATTGCGTCATCTACCGACGCACCCACCCCCCACCCCGAACTGGATGGTTCCAGGTTAGTAGCGTAGAAGTGTGGCGCAAGTTTCGGATGGATCAGGAGGATCATGGATGGAGAGGGGTGTCAGACAGGTATAAATTAGCCGTTGCCGGCGACCGCGAGTCAGTCAGTGCGAGTGTGTAGTCAGTGTGTATGCAGTCTTTAGTGGAAGCGGAGCTGTTAAGTGTGCAGTAGTGCAGTAGGTGAACAGGAGTCTGAAGTCGGAAGTAAGCAGTCACTTAGTGAGTATACAGTCTGTCTGAAGAGGAAGCTGAGCTGTGAAGTGTGTATGGCGGGGAACAGCGGAGCAGAGGACTGTGGATAGTGCATCGGGCTGTGCTAGGTGCATCGGTGTGCGATACTGTAGAAGTGAAGAGTGTAAATAGAGGATCAGAAGAGGTGAAGAGTGTAAATAGAGGATCAGGAGAGGAGAAGGGTGTAAATAGAGGATCAGGAGAGGAGAAGGGTGTAAATAGAGGATCAGGAGAGAAGGGTGTAAGTAGGGGATCAGGAGAGGGGAAGGGTGTGTGTAAGGAAATCGAGTAATTTTAGCGTATCGTTAAGAAACAATTAAAGGTCTTTGTTATAATATTACCATTGGGTTTTAATTCACCATTAAGGAACGTTACAATATTACGAGACCGATTTTATTAGCAAGAGTCTCGCAATGGCTCCAACATTAGTTTCGTAGTGACAGACAATATCAACAATTAGGGAATAGGGACTAGCAAATACGGGAGAGACAGAATTACCCATTTTTCTAGAATCGTCCTCTACCAAGTCACTATGGTGTCATTGGCTTCTGATTGTATGAAACTGTTAACAGTTCATACCTGCCAGGGGCGGAGTTGCGAAAATCGCAGTATAGAATACAATTATTGTTATTGATCCTAGAAATTCAACGGCCATTTTAATTTTCAACTGAGTTGTTTGTGTCATGAATATTATTTAAAAGAGAATACATAAATATTAATTAAATCCGTCCTAATATGTTGTAACGTTTATCTCAGTCGGGTCGCTGGTTCATTCCTATAACGAATTGATGAAAGAGAAGGGAGGTTATATAATATCTATTAAATCATTTCATTAATGGGGCAAAAATTTATTCCTGACAACATTAACTGCCAGGGAAGATACTCGTCGCGAGAGAGCGACAAAGACTGCCTACCAACTTTACGCAATGAGCTCATGGTTCTCACAGCTAGGAAGAAATATCTTAACACTAATCTTTTGGGTTTAGTCTACAATAATTCGTGCATTGTTAAGTAATAAAAAACTGCCTGAGCGCGGCAACGCTGAAACTTTCGCCGGAATACCCAGCGAAGGAACCCCGTGACGTAATCAGGAGAGAGTTCATCTTCTGTTAAATACCGGATTTTCACCGCTGGTTGTCGGCGCCTCCGCACACCGGCTGGATGGCTGTCCTCGTCTAGTGATTCACCCTTGCTCTGACGAGGGCTGGCGGCGTGGTGCGGCGACGGCGGGGCGGCGCTATGCGGCGAACGCAGATTGACGTGTAGTCTGCGCGGGTTTTAGGTTCGGTGAAAAATCGCGCTCAGTGGCACAGTTCAGCCCTACGAGCCGAAATTAACAACGTTCCTCACTCCGCAGAGTCTCAGATAACAGCCACGTCTTTTTTCCTACAAGTCCCGATCAGTAATGTAATGTTTCTCTCCATCGCGATCGGTAGCAAATTTCTATAATTTAATGTTAAGTTATTGCTTTACAAGAAAAAGTCGTGTAAAGCAATATCTAGTGTAATCATTCGTGTAATGTCGGGTAATGTTTCTACTCAGCTCCCGGCCGAGCTCGCCTCCGTTTCCCCCTCCCGAAAACGTCTCGGAGCCCGTAGCTTTGCCCCTTCCTTCATGGGGAGATGTCTCATAGGCCGAAACTTTATGCGTCACAATTTTGTCACCTGATCGCACTGTTTCTGGAATTATCCAGGGTTCTTTCTCTTCCGGGCTCGCTCTCACTAATTCTGGAAGCATCTCTTGCAGCTGCCCGAACAAGTGCTCAGGCGGCTTTGTTTTCGGAAACAATTCTTCGGCGCCGTGATCAGCAGCCGGCGACGGGCGAGCTATAAACAATACCTTTGGGATTTCCGGAAGTGTTGTAGGGAGCTTCCTTGCGCGTGGCGGATGGCCGGCGGGCGGGGTCTGTCTCCGGGTCAAGACGCTGGCGGTTTTGCTAAGTGCGCGGGGGCTCCCCGAAGTGGGGTGGGGAAAGGTCTTCCCTGCGGATCGGCAGCCGACGAGGGGCGTGCGACGGGCGAGCGCCGAGCAGCCGGCTTGTTGTAAATATGTCTGCTGCGAACGGCACCCTATTTGGCGGGCGGGAGGGGCAGGTGGCGCCGGGCGAGAGGCTGGCCGGTTGCAAAGGATCCTTTGTGGCAAGAGCCCAGTCTTGCGACTTTTTTTCGTGGAGAAAACTGTCTTCATATTAAATTAACACGCCACAATATATATTAAATATCGCTAGCCTCGTGGTTGCCGGCGCTAGAAAGAATGCTCTGAACAAGCTTTGTTCAGGGGCAGGATCCTTTGGGGTATAATAAAATATTTACAACCAGACACAGAATTAGGTGAAAACAGAGCGTATATTCTCCAGAATGACTCATCAGCACTGACAAAGACTACAAAAATTTAAATATCAAATTGCACACAAATATTCAATACGAAATCAAAATACTTTTCACACCCTTTAAAAATTATTTCTTATTTTGGTTCGAGTATTTCTTCGTCATTCACTACTATGTAACATAGTCCACGGTAACTATGGCTTGGTACGGTTTAAACAAAAATATCTTTATATGACTGAAGAGTGCATCCTTTCTACAGCGACTCTTAGATTTAAAGTAGAACACGTTATTGAAGTGCTTACTACAATTATTTACAGCTGAATGTTCCTCGTAAAGATTACTCAAAATTGAGGAACGTTTCTCGTAACATTTAACATTAAAATGAACTGTGTTATCGGCGTACAAGGTTCTTTCAATTGCTTTGCCGTAATCTAGATTTTACGTGCAAATGCCTTTCTGCTGCTACGCTAACGTTAGTCTCTGTTGGTTCCCAATCGCTTTGCAAAATTTATCTTTGACGGGCGCTTATTGCGCAACTTGCAAACAGTTCTGTGTTGCCGCCGTTTGACATTGGCCCACTTCTTATTGCACCGTCGATGCTCTTCCTCGCAGTCCAGTCGTCAGCGATGTCGCTCGGAACGCCGTCTTCCCTCTCCTGCCACCAGATCCACGCCCAAACTACTTTCGTCTTGCCTCTTGACCACGCCCGGCACCGGAATCCTCGTCTCTGCTTCTTTCTTCGCCCTCTTCCTATGCGGCACGCCGACGCATATTTCAAAGTCCTACGCGTGTATGCTAACGGCGTATCGGTTTTCTGGCATTTTTAACTATCCTTAGTCGTGTAGCTAACCGCACGGTTCTACTGACGCCTCTCAACAGCTCACAGTACTCGCATTCGCGGCCCCTATTCCGCCTCGTATTTGCTACTCCACTACTTTCCAGTCTTTATGCAATATTACACTTCGCCTATTGGATCACAGTTCAGACATGTTTCCAAAATTTTTAACTTTTATTCATATCTGATTTAGAAGACCTATTATAAGTAATTATGAATTTTGCAATATGAATAACAAGTGAAGTAATATAAAGTGTTGTGAAATGGAATTTATGTTAATGCTACAAGTGGTTGACATTTTCAATTCCATGAAATGTTAATAGTCCATTACGAATAATGGCAGACTTATGTTCATACCATGTTACCATACCACCACCTTATGTTTATTAGTTATATTAGAGCGTAAGTTCACGTTGAGGAATCAATTGAAACTGATGTTAAGTATTATATTGCAATCCAATAATGCACATTAATAATGTGTAGAAATTGCAGATATTCATTGCAGACATTGCTGATATTGCAGATATTCATTAAAATACGAGGTTCATGGATTATATTTTTACCGAACATATCTTATTATTAGGGATTTGTAATGAAGGTGCTAAGTGCATGAAAGTGAAGGTGCTAAGTGCATGAAAGTGAAGGTGCTAAGTGCATGAAAGTGAAGGTGCATTCTGTCAGTGCAAATAAAAACTTGGTAGGTAACTCATACTCTACGTAATTCATTTTTAGCGGTACTTGATTTAAGAACTTGTGAACTCCGCAACCACACAACTAACCCTGCTGGTTCCACGAAGTATTGTGGAGCCAGCGAATTAATGGCTCTGCGAATTATATAGCGATTTAATTTCCATTCTTGAAAGGAGTGAACAATTCGTGGTGAAAGCAGAAATTTGCTCGTATGCTCCATAATACTAGTAATGCATTTTTACTCCTTGCTCAAAATTCGTACAGAACGTATATAATATAAATTTGTATAATATGATTTGCTGCATTGCTTGCACGGATTTCAATGAAGTATCGTTTCAATGTGTTTCAGGAGGTGGTGATGAACGGCTCAGAGACTATAGTCGACGATGAATTGGAGAAAGTAGAAAAGTCTGCAAAGCTGCAGGCTGCGGCAGGAGAATCTGGAGCCAATACACCGGCTGTAAATGAAAATTGCACGAAAATTGATGAGCAAAACAAAGATGCTGCTGAAAAAGACGCAGATGTTCCATCCAAAAAAGATAAGGAAGACAAGAAGGAAAAGGAGAAAAAAGAAAAGGATAAGGATAAGAAAGATAAAGTTAAGAGAAAGTGGTCTTTCCGATCCTTGGGTATGTCTAGAAAGGATAAGAGCAAACCCAGAGAAGAAACCTCAAAGAACGGAGACGTTACTAAGGAGGAAGCAGAGATAGAAGAGGTAAGTTTCTGTATTTCAAAGTTTCTTGTGAATAGGGTCCAGTGCACAAAGCTAGTGGGTTAGATATTTTGTGCAGTATCGCGTACTTGCCTCTAATAGTTTTAATTAACCATTTTCAATGTTATTAACATTACGCCCAGTGGCAATACCATCGAAGTTACAATAGCATTTCCAGTAATGCCCGGCGACGCTTCAGCCTAAATTTAAATTTCGTTGGACATTTGATAATTGCGAAAAGTTTGCGCAGAATTAATACAGTTGGGATGGACTATTTACTTTTATTTTGCTTTTTTACGTCACTTTTCATTTACTATTATTTTCTTTGATATTACAATACTGCGAAAATTGTTTAAGATTCATCGCCATGTTTAGTTTTTGACGTAATGTTTTTAATCTGCCGCGTAAATTTCGTGGTTCTGATGATTCAATTGAAAAAAGTTTTTATGTAATTAAAATATTATTCGTATAATAAACTTCGAGTTCCTGTATGTTTACTTAGTTTCCATGTATTAATACTATTTTCAAATTAGTCAAATACTAAGATAATTGTATATTTATTTTCCCGTAAAAAGGAGGAAGGTGGTGCCTTTTCATTTCACCTAGTATACATGTTCAAAGCTTTGAATGGCACTTCAGTGTTGCCCTATTTCTAATGGCACTATTTCTGACGTTGCAATACCCCATATACGTTGTCAACTTCGAATAGGTGGTTTTGCTTCGTATGCCCTTTCTGCGCACTAACCTCCTCATTCCACAGTTTATAGGTACAGTAATCCAACAGTTGGATTTGTGTAAGTACCCCTAGCAAGAGACATGCCTTGTCTAGTTGCCATTCGACCGCGCTCGATATGCCAATTATAAAATATTTAGTTTTTTTGTAATGTAATATACTATTTTCGCGGTATATCTCTACCTACCACGATAGACGCAAGTCATGTTTCGTACAGTTACTGGACGTGTTAGACTGTTACTAAATAACTGATACTTAACTTGGTCTCGTATTCTTTCCTCAAAATAATAAAGCATCGTGTTTGATTTAGATTAGTTTTGTCCAATAGAAGAAAGCGGGTCACTGGAAGTGATGCCATGTCCAGATTACGTGGTATGGTAACGTAATCGATAAGTGATTTATCGGGATACTGGACATTGTATTGATCGATTTATAGAAAAGGTTTTGTGCGGAAATAGCGGAATAGTTCAAAAAATACTTTTAAGTGAGGGTTCACCTAACTTTTCAAAATGAGTTTTCTGTCAGTAAATCAATTGTGTAGCTGCCGAACATTAAAACAATTATTAGTGTATGTAGCAAATGTCCTTTCCGATTAAATCGTGTAGTACACTATTCCGTATGGTGATAGTGACAAACGCGTGACACTGTTAATTTTCTCTCCCAAGAGGGGCCTCATGAGGGTTCAGCAGCCTCCCAAAAACGATAGTGTTCAGAAAACTAGTTTTTACTAAATGTTCTGCGGTACGAAAAGTTGTTCAATATTTCTATTGAGTACATTATTTTTGTTGATTTATAGTTATTAATAAAGTTAAATTTTAGCTTAAATGAAAATAGTTTTATAAGAAAACTTAATTTATTAAACACCAATCGCCGCATCCAGAACATTAACATGCTGCCTTTTAAATTTCAATTTTCAGTGCTGTAAGGGATTAATTCCTACGGCACCGCTAGTATTGTGATTTTCGATTAATTCTTTATTCCTGCATTGTTAATGCCCATGTTTTTTGACGAGTCAGGTGTTGAGATGTCAACATGTGTTCCGGATTTGTCTTCTGTTATTTCAAAACGTCTCACTGTATAATTATGCGGTAAAGAATGAGTTAACTCTTCAATCGTGTAGACTGTGCGTTTTATGATATTAATAATAAAAATAATATAATAAATTCTAGCTCGGTAAAATGCTATTTTAAGTCTTAAATGCCTTAAGTTGAAAATCACTTCAAGAAATTTGCTGCACTGAGAAGTTACTTTCGTGAGAAGATAAAAGCAAGGTGCGAAGTGCTCTTGAACAATGTTGTCAAGAAGTGAGCGTGCTGACGAAGCCTGCAAATTGGTCATAATCTGAGCTGGTGTAAAGATAAATGCTAACGTGCCTTTAGGCTGCCATTGCACGGTGATAATCCGTACAATTCAGCCCGCTACATGCGTCTAAGGCTGTGCAAAAATGTTCGTAATCAACATTCTCTGCCCCAGGGGTTTCAACTCCGGTTGAAATGCGGAATTTCCCTTTCCAAAATTATGAAGTTTTAAGAGTCTCTAATGAGAAACATCTTACGTCATTGTACCCAGTTCACAAAAAGTACCTGTCTGGTTGGTTTGTGGCGCTTAAATGCGCATTTACGAGTAACAATAATTCCAGGAAAATCACATCTGGTAAACCAAAGATATAAGCGGTCCAAGAATCAGGGCTACTAAAAAAGAAAGATTTTATGTTACAGATGCTTTCTGCCTTTGAATGTCTGAAGCTAGAAATAGAATCCATTTACATGGGGAAAATAGACATATAAAACATATTTGTACGGGAGTGTGTTCATGAAATTTAATTCCTTGGACATTTGTTTATTGTTGGGCGAAAAGTTAGATCGGCAATATTACATTTTGCCATTTAGGCATTAGTGTATGTGCACCTGAACATCCTGCGAAAGAGACTAGAGTCCAGGATGCTGCTTCTGTTGGCTTTCGTTGGGATGTTATAACATTCATCAAAATTACCGTTTAGGGTCTGAAGTGTCCTGAGTATCACGCATTTTGGGTCAGGATCTCTTTACGGCGCTTTGCACAGTGTATATGCAACTGTTAAAAACATGCATTTGGTAGAAAAACGTGTTGCAAGTAGACGACATTAAATAATTCGATCGGCTTAGTGATTGTCTCATAAGATGTGTGAATTATGCTGATAGACTTCTACTTCACGTTTTGCAACTGCCCAATTTAAGTTTTATCTTCGCTGTCGACATAAAATGTATTTACTGATCGGTAAAGCCGGTTGTCTTCAAATTCTGTACCCAATTTTGAGATATCATTTTCACACACAGACCCCCTTTACCGGTTATAGGTCTAAGCTAGAATTGATAGAGACGTCCATTAATGTCAAATGAAACATTGTGCCCCCGTAGATTGCGTCTTTTATTCTGGGTAGACATTACCACTATGTATTCCAGGCATTATTGCTGTAGGCGTGCTAATTTGAGGTATTGATGATTTCTCTATCTTTGGTTAACGAAGTGAAGGTATTATTGCTGTTCATTCTTCTGCTGGATGCTGTCGGTATGTAGATATGATCAATCTTCAATATTACAAGGACGAACCTGTGTAAGAGACAATACAGATGAATTATAACCTGTTGTAAAATTTGCAAGAGAAAATTGTGAATTCATGTTACAGCGAAGTTTCCGTTCTGCCGACTTCCCAGAACTTAATTTGATGTCTGATAGTGAGTGGTCTATCAGAAATTAGGAATTCCTTTTTCTTTGCTAACTGAATTTTAAGTAAGGTTAGCATAAAGGGGAAAAAACCTCATATAAATGGGAAAATGTTTCATAAAAATATTTGAAAATCGATTGTTTGCTGATCTGCATAACGACGCATAAGTTCCCTGGGCTACTCGTCCAATGCCTGTGTACGCGGCGTCTTAGGAACCTCACAAGATCTGGAAGGAAAGGCATGCTTGTTCAAGTTTTAGACATCCAAAATATTCAATTTTTAGAAAAAGTAAACTTTCAGATTTGTTGCGTACACTATAAATAGAAAAATTCTTATTCATTTCACTAGACGCTAACAAAAAATAGCTATAAGTAATTTAGGCTATTTTTTGTTAGCACAGGGAAACCTACCACAGTGGCCAATTGCTGTTACAACCGAGGTTCTATTAAAACTAAGGGTTAATTGGCTCGCGCCGCTGTGAAGATGTCGCCTCTCGGAAATAACTTACGGTCGTCGTTAACTGCATTACGTTGAACAGTACCCGCATCTTCGTGAAGCTAGCTTGTGTTAATTGGAAGTTGCCTTGTGATGTGTGGTACGTGACCCAGTTGACAAGTCAGCTCCGGCGAAATAAATTAAAGCTCTGTACATCAACCCTTCGGCATTTATTAAATCACTGCAGTGTACATTTGAATGGTAGTATAATCATAACGATAAGCAAGCAATGCCCCATCATAAAATACGTAAACTTGAGTAAAACGTTCAAAGCATATTTAAATATTTTTTAATCTTATAAAACAAAAACAAAAAAAACTTGAATTGTAAGAAATTCCCAGAGTTTGTATTTGAGGATCATTCATTAAAATTTTGTTCTAAAACTTTTAATATATTTAACTAAATATCCCGATTTTAAAGAGTGTTTTGTTTCTATTTTAAAAACTCTAAAACAAAGTTAACCTTTTCTTAGGTATACATATTTAACTTTTGTTAGTCCAGTACAATGTTTGGATGATACACCTCACTCGTTTCTAGCAAACGATAAATCAGTCGGATTCTCCTTGACGTTTAATGTCACATCATATTGCATTCCCTTGACTGCGTATTCTAGATTTAGCAACATTTATCACTAACATAGAAACACGATTTTTGTGATATTTATGAAAATGTATTCAAATGTAGCTGAAGTGTTGGTTTCACGTTAACCGCGTCTGAAAAGCTTAAATTAACGTTGTTTCTCATTGTTCTTAATAACGAGGCTGGTGGGTGAATTCGGATATATTAAATCAGTTTGATACCTGCGGTAGTATTACGTTCATTTTTGTAGGAAATGATTGTAATATAATTTTGAATTCTTGAGCTCAATAGAAATAAACGTTTATTTTATTGTAATAAAACTTCTAACAAATACCAGTTGTTAACTTCATTTCGTTTCCCTGATTGGGCTATTTACATTCCGCAATATAGTAGATACAGAATGTAACGGTAGGCCACAATAGAGGAAAAACTCAAAAAATAAAAGTTTTGAGTTAATGCGCTCTCCAGAATTGCAGGTTGGCCTACCTTCCGT